CACACACACACACACACACACACACACACACACACACACACACACACGAGAACACAAGAACACACAAGCTCACTAGAAGTCACAATGCCATCAGATTTAGGAAACAAAATGCTTTGAACCGGTGATTGACAAAACTACATTTTCATAAATCATTCACCTTTCAACGAGGTCACAGGCATCTTTTTTGGTGTAAGTTGTCTTTTCTGGATCCAACTGTTCCTGAAACCACAACAGCTTCTCACCTGCGAGTCCAGAGACGAGTCCAGAGACAGAGGTGGTGTTAATGGAGAGCAATTTGATCCTCACAGCCAACAGGTGTGCTCTGAATGATAAAAGGAGCTTACCGATGCTGCTCAGACGGGTTGCTTTGTCACTCTTCTGCCTGCAGCATCAGAAAAAACAATTAAATGAATGTAATCCGATTCTACAACAGTGTGTGCTAAGCAGTGGTTGATTACATTCAATTATTAACCAAGTGGGAATTTACTGTAACTGTTCTTTACTTAAGTATTTACATTTAATGCTACTTTATACTTCTACTTCTCCACAATTCGGGGGCAAATCTTTTACACATTTATCCGTCTGTTGTAGTTACTTTAAAGAACAGATATGTCATACAAAATAAATCTATAGATTCCTTTAGAACAAAATGATGTTCTGTAAATATCCTATTATGGACTGTGTTCATCTGTTTTTAATAGGCTAACTGTAAAGCATTTACTACCTTAGTTTTACAGTTTTAAAGACACCTGGGGGTTAGCTGTGCTCAAACGCAGCCAATGTGCTGCATTTATTTTGTTTTTATTTTATTCCTCACACCTTTCTTTCTTTTTCAGTCGGATTTCTTCCCGGGCGAGGTAAGCAGCTTTCCTGCTGTACGGGTGAACAACCTTCTCCGGGGCTTTTCCGTGTGCTTTATGAGCCTTCGGCTGAAAAAGAATAAGAAATATGAAATAATCAGGAAGCTGCTGATTAAAAATAACTACAATCATTGATAGTACACGGATTTAAACAGGCCACAGCACACCAGGCTTACCATTTTTAGTGATTGACAGCACGTGTGGTCCTCTTCTGTTGACAACGGGACCGGAAGTAGACCGGTCCGTCCTCAAAGTTTGTCCGTATGTGTTGCGGCAAAAACAAAACGGTTCCGGATTTTAGCGCGTCACAAACTTAAAGTGATTGAACGGATCATTAAAGTGATTTAACGTATTATTTGGATGGCTCAAGAGCCAGAGGTATAATCATTCAAATGAAACTATGATTTATGTTCAAACTATGTTTGCCAAATTACTGTTGTCGGGTCGGAGTTGTCAAAAGTTTGTAATGTTAGTCATGTTGGCTGCAGTCACCGTGAAGGATGGGGAATTTTTTTTTTCAGCATTTATTTAAAAGTTCCCCTTTGAATTGTAGACTGATTAAATTACATTTATAAGGTTATAAACCAAACCGCTGGTTTAGAAATAACCAGATTTAATGTGAAGTGGATGATGTCGCCAAGCTTTCAGTATCACAAGCATCTTTCTGAGAGGATTACCAACAATGAAAGCAGCAGGACAGCACGGTGCAGTTGGGCGAACATAGTTATCCAAGCTGACAGAGCAGAGAAACAGGTGAGGAGTGAGGATAAGTAGATGTTTAAGTCTGAGTATCCCCTGTTTACAACTGTTTGAGAAATGTGAAATAGCACACTCTGACAAACTGTAAAATGATGTAATTTTCTGTTTTTTGCATGTTTTATGATAAACAAAACAAAAAAACACAAACCTATTATTATCTATGCCGTACTTAATTTCTAAATAGTGTTGAGATGATTCATGAATAAATATTAAGCGATTAGACAGATGAGAAAAGCACAGACATAATTAGGCCTACAAATTATTATTATGGATAACAATAATAATAATAACTTTATTTATATAGCACCTTTAAAAACAGAGTTCACAAAGTGCTTTGACAGAAAGCAGTGACAGTTGGATACGTTAAAAATAAACTATGAAATAAATAAAATAAAATAATAAAAGATAAAAATAAAAATAATGAATTAATAAAATTAAATAAAAATTATATATATATATATGTATATATATATATATATATATATATATATATATATATATATACTGTATATATATATATATATAC